CATGAGTGCAAGGGATATGGACATTTCAAGAATGACTGTCCTACTATCAAGCGACGGGAGATTCAGTGCTATGGCTGCAAAGGATTTGGACACACTCAGCTGGAATGTGTCAATGATCAAAATCGCAGGAAGGACAAGTCCATGTTGGCTGAGGAAGAATCGGATGATGACTCAGAGGATGACTCAGTTGAAGAGACAAACAACTTTGTGACGTTTATCGGGATCGCTGAAATTGAGGAGGGACAGGAGTCAGAGTCAGAGCCTGAATAAGAAAAGGAGGATGATCTCATAAGTAGCTACAAGGAAGTACGTCATGTCCTGGTTAGCCTCAACAAAGAAAACAGTGAATTGAAGAAAGAAAACCAGAGACCGTCCGTACTAGTAGACAAGCTCAGCAAAGATCTCGAAGCAGCAAATGCACTTGGCCAGGGAAGTGTCAACTTGATCAAGGAGAAGCTGGAATTAGCCAACAAAGCTGAAAGTCTGAGGCAGCATCTAAAGGTTGAAAAGCAAATATCGGAGAAGCTGGAGTCAGAACTAGATCAGCTAAAGAAGCAGATTCAGATGTTCGCAGGGACCAAGCAACTAGACAAGATCCTGAGCTACGGAGGTCAAGCCAATACAAAGCATGGGCTGGGGTACAGTGGATGGGAACAGAGGAGCTCAGATGAAATCAAGTTTGTCTCATCCGGATACAACTAGCCTGAAGGAGGAAGATCTGCCACCAAACCGCGAAAAGGACGAGAGTGCTATTACTGTGGCAAGATCGGACATATCAAGGCATACTGCTACAGTAGATGGAACAGGGTTCAGAAACTGATGAAGCAACGGAAGTTCAGTTGGAATGGATCCACGAATCAAGTCTGGGTCAGGAAAGAGGATTTGCGATTTGAACCTAAGGGACAACTGAAGAAGAATCCCATCAAGCCGAGAGAATTCACTGTTAAGAGATCTTCCAGAGTTGATCCAATGTCAATGCTGTGGCATGGATTCAATTGCAACATGGCACAAGTTGAAAGCGACGAAGACGAGTCAGAGCCTTGGTACTTCGATAGTGGCTGCTCACGGCACATGACTGGAAACCGAAGCTACCTCCGAAATGTTAAGAAAATTAAGGGAGGAAGAGTTACGTTTGGTGATGGAAGTGTCGGTGCCATACAAGGAAAAGGTATTACAAAAGACGAAGATCAGCCTGATCTAGTCAATGTATACTTAGTACAGGGACTTAAGGTGTTATCAGCATAAGTCAATCCTAGCTGGAGAAAGATCAGGCAACAATTGCTACATGTGGAACAAGTCAGGGTCGGTTATGAGCTGTTTTACTGCCTGTGATAATCTGCAGTTGTGGCATCAGCGACTCGGACACATGAACATCAGGAATCTCAATGATCTCATCTCAAAGGAGAGCATTAGAGGAGTTCCAAAGATTAAGGGAGGAGATAAGTTTGTGTGTGGAGCGTGTAACCAAGGCAAACAGGTCAAAAGTTCAACACAAACGAGTACCTGATGTACAATCCAAAGCACCACTTGATCTAGTTCACATGGATCTGATGTGGCCAGTTCAGACAGAGAGTTTGGGAGGTAAAAAGTATGTGTTTGTGCTGGTTGACGACTTCACCAGATTCACATGGGTCAGGTTTCTCCGAGAAAAGTCTGACACGGCGGACAGCTTCAGAATCTGGGCTCTACAACTCATGAATGAACGAGGTTCAATCAAACGAGTCAGGAGTGATCATGGAGGAGAGTTTCAGAACGAGTTCATGAAGTTGTTCTGTGAAAGTCATGGAATAGCTCATCAGTTTGCTGCACCCAGAACTCCACTGCAAAACGGCGTAGTGGAACGGAAGAATCGAACACTTCAGGAGATGGCTCGTGCGATGATCTATGGAAATCAAGTTCCCAAACGTTTTTGGGCAGAAGCAGTCAGCACAGCATGTTACATAATCAATCGGGTGTACATGCGAAAGGGAACATCAAAAACTCCTTATGAATTATGGAAAGGAAAGACGCCTAACATAAGTTACTTTCATATCTTTGGATGCAGGTGCTACATCTTGAATGATAAGGATCATCTTGGAAAGTTTGATTCAAGGAGTGATGAAGGAATTTTTCTGGGCTACTCAGGTCATAGCTCAGCCTTTCGTGTGTTCAACATGAGGACGAAGGTTCTGGTTGAGTCAGTCAATGTGGTGTTCGATGACTACGCTCAGATGGAATGGGAGAAGCCTCTGATCGGGAGTGATTCTGAAGGTGATGAAGTGGATCGGGTAACACAGACAGCAGAGGCGATGCAATAGCCATCTGTGTCAACCGAAGAGCCTCAGATCGTGACTCAGGAGAACACCAAGCAAGTTCATCGGAATCATTCAGCCTCATATATCATCGGTGAGGTGAATGAAGGGAGGAAGACTCGTGACATTCAACTGGATTTCAAGAAAATGATTGGGAAGTTCTCTGAGATGGTGCTATACTCCTGCTTTGTATCAGTGATTGAACCAAAAGATCACAGACAAGCGTTGCAGGATGACATCTGGATCATTGCCATGAAACAAGAACTCGAGCAGTTTGTTCGAAATGACGTGTGGGAACTAGTGCCACGACCGATGGACTGCAACATTGTGAGAACCAAGTGGATTTTCAAGAACAAAATTGATGAGAATGGAGCAGTGGTTCGAAACAAAGCTCCGTCTACTGGCTCAGGGATACTCCCAAGTAGAAGGAGTGGATTTTGAAGAGACATTTGTACCTGTGGCACGCCTTGAGTCAATCGGACTCATTCTAGGAATGGCATGCATACTCAACTTCAGGGTATATCAGATGGATGTCAAGAGTGATTTTCTGAATGGTCTGATTCAGGAGGAGGTGTATGTGGAGCAGCCGAAAGGGTTCGAAGATGCAGGCAACCCGGCTCATGTGTACAAGCTTAAGAAAGCGTTGTATGGACTGAAGCAGGCACCTAGAGCCTGGTATGAACGACTGACGAGCTTCCTAGTTCAAGAAGGTTACATGAGAGGTAGTGTGGACAAAACCTTGTTCATTCTAGAGCAGAAAGATAAGATTATGGTTGTTCAGATTTATGTGGACGACATAATCTTCAGAGGGACCTCTCAAGAGCTAGTTGATGCATTTGTTGCAAGCATGACGAGTGAGTTTGAGATGAGTATGGTGGGAGAGCTCAAGTACTTTTTGGGACTTCAGATCACTCAATCTGAGGAAGGTGTCTTCATATCACAAAGCACCTATGCTAGAAACCTCTTGAAAAGATTCAATCTTGATTCAGCCAAAGAAGCAAAGACCCCAATGAGCACAACCACCAGTCTCACGCGAGATGATGAGGGAACAAGTGTTGATCCAACTTTGTATAGAGGAATGATTGGGAGTCTCTTCTATCTCACAGCGAGCAGACCGGATCTGTGCCTGAGTGTTGGCATCTGCGCTAGGTACCAAGCTAAACCTAAGCAATCTCATCTTGAGGCTGTAAAGAGGATCATCAAGTACGTCAAGTGCACAGTTGATTTAGGTATCTGGTACTCAAAAGGATCGAATCATAACCTAGTGGGATACTGTGATGCAGATTGGACAGGAAGTGCTGATGACAGGAAAAGCACCAGTGGTGGGTGTTTCTTTCTCGGGAACAACCTCATCTCGTGGCTCAGCAAGAAGCAAAATTCAGTGTCCCTCTCCACTGCTGAAGCAGAATACATTGCCATGGGGAGCTGTTGTAGCCAACTACTGTGGATGAAGCAGATGTCCGCTGACTATGGAATGGATTCAGGTCCACTTCTTGTGTACTGTGACAACAAGAGTGCTATAAGCATTTCCAAGAACCCAGTACAACACTCAAGGACAAAACACATCGACATAAGACACCACTTTATCCGTGAGTTAGTGGAGGATAAACAGGTAGTAATCGAGCATGTTGTCATTGAATCTCAACTGGCTGATTTATTCACCAAACCATTGGACTTTAATCGTTTTGTTACTTTAAGAAATGCAATTGGTGTTTGTGGAATCTAACAAGTGCTTTGAGATGTGCAGAACTGATACAGGTACAGGCTCAGGATGAACATAACGTTTCGATTCAGCCTTGAGGGTTAAAGGTCGAAGAAAAAGAGCTACCTATCTTGTGGTCATGCCTCGACATCAGTACAGGTTTCACAGAGAGAACCAAACAATCTGGAAGCAATGTAAGTCGGTCTTTGAGAAACCGCAATGATAAGACTGAGCTACAGGTTAATCTGTACTTCAGAGACAGGTCCTACATCAAAAAGAAGACCTGTCCAAAGCTCAAGAAAAACCCAAGGGAGAAAAAGAAGGGAAGCTGCCAAGTCACAGTGTATCTAATTAAAAAAAATATAAATACACTGTGACAAATACTTAAAGTTCTCTCTTGCTGAATAAAGGTTGAAAACTGATGAAGAGTGTGATAAAGACAAGATAGTGTAAAATCTAGTCTCAGTATCAAACCTGTCAAGGCACAAAGAATCAAGAAGTAGCGGAGTGATCATTCGAGTCATGTGCTGAGTCAGCTTATGTGTCATCTGTGAATCTGGGTAAATAAGCTAATCTCAAAAACTGTTTTCAAAAGCTAGTTGAGGTGTGATGATATGAACGGTTACTATTCATGTTAGTCATCACAAAATTCTTCGGATTAAATGTGTCAATGACTGTCGTGTTCCTTGTGGTGTACTAATGGACTTCCTTGTGCTAGAAAACGACTTATCATGGTTAAACAGGAAGTGGGCCGTGGAAAATGGTGCAAATACAGGAAGACCCAACAGCAGCCCATGAAGAAAAAGGAAAATCAAACAAAGGAGAGGGAAATTGATGTGGCTATATTTGCGGAAGAGGAAGAGGAAGAGACGCTACATTGAATTGATCCAAAACCCTAGGTGCGAAGAACTTGTGTGACTCAATTCAAAGCATCTCGGTCTAGATCCGTGAATAAAATGGTGTCTGTAACACGAAGAGGGCTCATAAGAAAGAAACCGAAGTCAAAGATGGCACATGCAACAGGTGATGCTTCGTCTCCTCACCTAATCGATGGATCGAGTGGAGAAGAACAGAATCCACCCGTGATTCAGAGTGAAGAGAAGTCTGGAGCAGGGAAGGGGACCGGAAGCGAGAGCGACTCACTCGCTACTGCAGACGAAGACGGAAAATCATCAGCCAAATCACCAGAGGATCTTGGAGAAGAGAATCCGCTTCCCGACGAAGCCCAGGTTGAATCGGTGGCACAAGAGGAGGTACACGATGGTGCGAATGAGCCCGAAGCAGAAAATAAAGAAAGCCCTCGAGCCGAAACTAAATCGCAAGAAGCCGATCAACTGAGGGAGGGTAGAGAAGCCGCATCGGAGACCCGAACAGAGGCTGAGCCCGAGGACAACGAAAGGGTGATTTCTGAGAACGAAGAAGGAAGAGGTCTGCCATCTGAGACAGACGAACGGCCAGAAGAGATGTTGGTTCAGGAGCAAATCGACGAGGTCAAAAGGAAGCAGAGCTTGGCAATGGTGACAGTTCCTGCTGCAAAGCGAGCTCGGAAAGAAAAGAAAAGAACCACATCCGCTGAAGCCTCAGAGCCAAGAGCTGAATCAACCCCAGCCGCTCCTTGCCCAGAAGCTGAGTCAAGTCACGACAAACAGAAGAAGAAGAAGGCAAACCTCCGGAGCAAAAAGAGGGTTGTGTCTGATGAACGAATCCAGCTGTTCAAGGATCGTCACATCTGGTGGAAACGAGTTGTAGATGTGGACGAAGAAGATGAATGGAAGTACCTTGAGGTACTTCGTGAGAGCGGAATGCGGTGGACGGTGACAGAGCTCGAGCCCTACATGAGCAAGGTGGTGCGAGAGTTCTATGCAGGACTACCATCAGAGTCACCGAGTGATTCATCTCAGGTCTTTGTAGTGAGAATCAGGGAAGCTAAAGTCCGAATTTCTCCAAGGATCATCAACGAGACCTTACGTCGCGAGCCTCTGACTGAAGCAGAAAGAAAAGAGTAGGCTGAGGCAGACCTTGTGCCAATTTCTGAGGTATCAAGATACATGTCACAAGGGCATCAGTCGACATGGTCTGAGTTAACCTCGAGAGATTTCCCTCCATGGATAGCTGCAATGATGGTCATCGCATCTTACAACTGGGTCCCATCAACGAATAAGCACCACATCTCCGAGGAACGGGCAAGGTTAGTTTACAAGCTGGCGCACAGAATCAATGTTGACATTGGGCGGATGATCTTCCAACAAATGCTTGATCTGAGCAAGGTCATCAAGGGAGATAGACGATGGTTGATGTTTCCCTGTCTCATCAGCAAGGTCATCAAGAGGCAACTCATTCTGCAGCTCGAAGAAGGTGAAATGTGGATCTTTCCAACCAAATACAAGAAGGATCCACAAAGTGGGGAAACCTTTCTCAAGAAGGAAGCCGCTGCTGCAGTTACCTAGGAAAAGGCTAAGGAGAAACGGAAGAAAGAGGCAAGAAATAGGACTGGATTTGCATCGACATCTCGTCCTTCAACCTCGAATCCGCATTCAACAACCGCTGCCCAGCCAAACATACCAACTGGAGGAGTCAACAGCGTGAATCTGGGAGTGATTAGAGTGCCTGAGGCTCCAGCCGATGCAGAGGGAATCATGACAGCTCTTGAAGATGTGGCATCAGTTCTTGAGCAACTCGGGGTAGTAACGGCCATGCTACGCGCTGCAGTCACAGGTAAACTCACTTAGAACCTATCTGAACTTTCAAATTATGTTTGCTCATCGATTATTTTTAACATCTGTGCTCACAAGGAGGGGGAGAAGATTGAAATCGGTGGATGCATGAACTATGGGGGAGTTTTTGCTTTATTTATTTTGGGGGTTTTAGAATTCTGGGGGAGTAAGGAGAGAGTTTTTTTTTGAGACATTGTGTTTTATCTTTTATCTCCTTGAACTCGTTGATGTTAAGACTTGACACTCCATTGCTTTCTTGGAGTTCTTTTGATTAATCGGAATTACCTCAGAATTGTGTGTGGCTTGTAGTTCTTTGGTCTGTGTTTGTGGTCTCGATTTCTTGGACAGGTACTTGTGAAGCACATATGCTAAAAAGGGGGAGATTGAAGATGCAAACAAGGCTGGAGCAGCACGTGTAGCAGTCCGCCTGGCTCTAGGACTGACACGGGAAGACTTGCGAAGCAATCTACACACGTGGAGGTGAGCTAGAAGCTGAGCTGGAGCTGCAGGACGTGCTGGACACTTCAAGAGACGAGAAGCTGACGTGGATAGGAACCTTGGAGTATCTTGGAGGATCTTTGAAGAAAATATCAAGTTTCCTCTATCTTAGGAGAAGATAAGGAAGGTGAAGATTCTCATGAAGATTTGGAGAAATCGTAAAGAGAGTCTGGGCTTAGAGTAGCCGCAAGTCCTATTATGTATAAATAGGCATGTGAAAAACCTTGTAGGGTTTTTAACACAACTGAGAGAATTCTTAGCAAAGGGTGAGCGAAAATCTGTGAGAGTTTTCTGTGAGCTAGTGTGCTAAGGGGTTTGGGTGAGAGGTTCTTGAATCACGTATCGATTCAAGAACAGGTGAGGCTAGTGTAGCAAATCAAGGTGTGTCTTGAGGTTGCTCTAAATCGGGTTTTGTATACTTGTAAGTTACAAACAGATTTACTAGTGAAATATTCTTGAAGAGAAAATCCCTGTGTTGTGTTCTGTGTTAGTTCCCGTATTACTACTCTTACATTTTCATAATGTTAGTCTTTCTGATTGTTAATTTCATCTTCTGAAACACCGTCAATGCATTCTCGGACTTGACTGACAAAAATGCTGGAAAACACATTGTTAATTAATATTTTTATGTATATATATATATATATATATATATGCATATATGGTAATCAATAATCATATAATCCAATAGTACCTCTCGTAAGGAGTCAATTCGTCGCAGTTCAGAAGGATGTACGTATGTGCGCTGTGGTAGTCCTTTTTGTTTGACCAACAAGTTTCTTTTAGTTTCCCACTTAGACATCCAATCGGTGAGAATATATCTGGTACACCTTCTACTGCGTAAGTTTGTCCTACACCCCCTATCATCATAACGTCTTGGAGCCCGTTTGCGTGTACGAACCTTTGGAGAAAAATCGTAAGACATGAAATGAGAAGTTTTTTCTGTCAAACTTCCCGCCACGATAGACCCTTCAACTTTTGCTAAGTTTTTAACCTTACCCTTTAAATGATTCATAAAGCATTCGAACAAATACATCCACCTAAACCGAACAGGTCCTCCTAACTCTGCTTCGTGAGGGAGGTGTATAGGTAAATGTTCCATAACATCAAAGAATGCAGGTGGGAATATTTTCTCTAAATTGCACAACAGTATTGGAATATTTGTCGAAAGTTGTGAAACTACATCTGCTGATAACGTCCTTGTACTTAAATCATGAAAGAAAGCTCCAATGCCTCCTAGTGCCTCATGGACATGTCCCAGTAGGAGTTCAGCAAACGCAAAAGAAAGTAATCGTTGCATAAACACATGACAATCATGACTCTTCATCCCTGAAAACTTTTGTCCTTTCTCCACAGATTTAGGTAGATTAGATACATACCCATCATGAAATTTCACGGCTGATGATACTCAATTAACCAATGCAGTTTTTTGTTCTGCACCCAGCCGAAATACTGGAACTGGTGCTTTCCCATTACTCACAATATGAAACTCAATTCTATTACATATATCAGGCAAGTCCATCCATGATTTGACGCTGTCTTTGGTTCTTCCTTGGACGTTCAATATGGTATGAATGATGTTATCGAAAAAAATCTTTTCAATGTGTATAACATCAAGATTGTGTCTCAGCAAATGATCTTTCTAGTATGGCAGATCCCAAAATATACCTTTTTGTGCCAATTATGATGAACCCAATATCCATCAGACATATTCGTGATATGTCTATATTTTGCATCATTTAGGTTGCATTTTAGAGTCCAAATCATATGTTTCCTCATTCATTTTAGGTTTTTAGGCTTCAAAGTAAACTTTAGGATTTGCATTAGGTCCCAAAGTGTTTTGCATGGTTTGAAGCCTTTATCAGGTGCTTTTGAGGATGTTTGGAGCTCAAGAGGAAGATCAGGAGTGGAGACGGTGAAGAAGAGGGTCAAAAATGGTGAAAACCGCTTGAAGGAATTTCTCGGCGAAAACTCGTACCGGCTGGATCAGAACATCGGCCAAAATCGCTATGAGGTGGCCTTTACCGGCTAAAAATCATTACCGGGTGGAAATTCCATCGGGTGAAATTTTATGCCGAGGCGAAAAGTTTTTATCAGCTAAAAAACTTACCGCGTTACATGCTTCTCGGACATTTCCCTTACCGCGGGAAGCATTTATCGGCTAAATTCTATTTTCACCTGCGCGCCTCAAAGATCTCAAATCCGGGGAAACTTCCAGTCCGAACCAGTTGACGGGGTCTTCATCAAAGTTGGAGATAATCAAGCCAAGATCCCATAACAGTTGGAATCACGTAGTTCGGACCAGTGAGTAGTGAGATATCGCCTCCGGAAGGCACGCCTGTCTCGCATGCATCCAAAAGCAGATCAGATGGGTTTTAAAGATTACGTGGGACGATGCCCTTCCAGCTCGAATCAGCTTACAGGACCTTCATCAATATTCGAGGTCTGTGAATGCTCTTTCCAGAACACATAAGGTCGCCCAACTCGGCATAGCGGTTTGAAAGATATCGTCTCCGGAATAGATATCGTCTCTGGAATAGACATCGGTCTAAAAGCTGGTTTTTTCGGTCATTTCAATGCGGTGCAAAGATGAGCAATCCGGGGAGCCTTCCACCTCCAAAGCTCCGACGGTTTCTTCACCAAAGTTTGATCTGAAAGAGTTATCTTGATCATGGAGCTGGTTTCAAAGCATTTGGAGTCGTGTGCTGAAAGTTATTGCCTCCGTAAGACAAGTTGATCGGTATGAGCCCAAAGAGTTGCGATACGCGCTAAGTATTTTTAGAGACCTCGGCATCGTTACCTCGACATCGCTTAGGCCGAGGCTCATCCCCTAAGATCTCTCTGGATAAAACCTCGTACTAACTACTTGGTATGTCAAGATCGAGGCATGCATGCAAGAAAAGCCAAGCTGAAAGCGACTAAGTGTTGGACGTACACCTCGGCTAAAAGGCCTCGCGATTACATGCCGGACTCCATCTTCCTGAACCCCTCGACTACCAAGCCCCTCCGCACTGCAAGCCGAGGTCCCTTGTCACGAACCCAGATTCAAGAACAAGTTGACTCGGAGGATGCACGTGAAGATGGATTGAAGACTAGGGTTTATGCATGTTCTTGACGTGTTCTTCATGAGATCTTCATCTTGATCTTTGCTCACGTGCACCCCTTGGCATCTAGACCTCGGCTTCACTCTCTCACACACCGTGGTGCTCACCCGACGACCCAAGAAGAGCGTTCAGTACCCGGTTTGTTCCAGGCTGACCCGCGACACTTACCCTTCACTATAAATAGATTTTAGGACCAGAAACCTAATCATCTTTTATCTTATCTTATTTCCTGCCTGTTTTAGTTTTAAGAACTTGCCTCTTTTGTGAAACTTGATTAATCTAATCCGATATCTCGTTTTCACGTAATAAATCTTGTTCTTGTTTATTTTTTTTATTCACCAGCATCAAACTCCTTATCATGACTAGCTACACGTCTTGCAAAGGACTTAGTGAGCTCGTTATGATCAGTGAGTAGTCCGTTTAAGAGGCTTTAGATAGGTAGATTAGGGTGCTTTCATGATAGATTAGCGAGTTTAGGGGTCTAGTCTTGCATGTTTCATTCTTTAACTGACGAGATCTCTAAGCTGGATCCAAGCACATCACTTGCGGTTCAGATCTGAGACATATCTCGCATCAAAAGTGTTCGTAGAAATGTCTGAACCAATCGGTTAGAGGTTTAAGAGTCTTTCATCGCGAGAGTGATAGTTTGACCTTCTTAAATGACCTACTGAACTCGATCTTAAAGCTGAC